GGCGAAGCCAAGATGGCGGAGTAAAAGCAGTGATTGCTTGAGCTCTCTCCCAAACCCCTCCAAATACCTATAAAAAATGGCTCTAAACAAATTCTAAAGCAGCAGAACCTACAAAAAGACAAAGTAAAACAAATTTCCTGCCCAAGACAACCTGGATGTTTGGTTGCAAAGGTATATCACGCTGGGTTGGGAGAGAAGCACGGTTTGGCGAAGGCTGCAGTGAACCTGGAGCAGACCTCGAGGGACTGAATCGAGGGCAGCTGTGGTGGTTTCTAGAACTCTCATCCCACAAACGCTGAAGGCAACTTGGAAGGTCAGTGGGAAAAGTCTGTGTCTGTGGTGAGAGAGAGAAGCATGGTGGTTTCAGCTCCAGTCCCTGAGCTAGGACCTGGGGCGGTGGCTGCCTCCTGAACTTCTGGCCCACAGACTGAGGGGGGGAATCAAGTTGCTGATCAGAGGAGGATTGCAGGGATCTCTCTGCTGGTGCAGGATTCTCTTGCTTTGCCTGTGTTTGGATCTGGGTCACAATTCTGGGTGGATGTCCTGGGGCAAGGAGGAGCGCTGGCGTGGTAGAGCTTGTAGTGGCTGTGGAGAAGAAGTCCCCCTCACAGTTCCAAGACAGAAAAGAGTGTTTGTGGTCACTCATAGACCAGAGCACAGGCCAGGAAAGGAGTAAACACCTCACCCTTGATCATACCATCTTGGAAGAACTGAAAATTTACGGGTCCCTAGAAGTATCTCTGAAAACAGCTGCACAAAACTCCTGAAGCTTGGGACAGTACATTCTCCTCCACACTGGAAACAGACCCCTGCCTTAACAAGGAGTTTATAACTCAAGTAATTGACTGGGATTGTGAGCAAGCAGCACAAAAAGAGTCAGACTATATTATCTTACTTTGGTGACAAAGAAAATCAAAACATACAACCAGAAGAAGACAACAAAGCCAAAGCTCCTACATCCAAAGCCTCCAAGAAAAATATGAATTGGTCCCAGGCCATAGAAGAGCTCAAAAAGGATTTTGGGAAGTAAGTAAGAGAAGTAGAGGAAAAACTGAGAGTGATGCTAAAGGAGACCCAAAAAAATACTGAAGAAAATAACACCTTAAAAAATAACCTAACCCAAATGGCAAAAGAGGTCCAAAAAGCCAATGAGGAGAAGAATGCCCTAAAAAGCAAAATTGGCCAAATGGAAAAGGAAGTCCAAAAGCTTACTGAAGAAAATACTTTCTTAAAAATTAGAGTGGAGCAATTGGAAGCTGGTGACTTTACGTGCAATCAAAGCACTGTAAAACTAATCCAAAAGAATGAAAAAATAGAAGAGAATGTGAAATATCTCATTGGAAAAACAACTGACCTGGAAAGTAGATCCAGGAGAGACAATTTAAAAATTATTGGACTATCTGAGAGCCATGATCAGAAAAAGAGCCTAGACACAGGAGAGGATTGTATATGAAATTTCAAATTTCCATTATGCAGAGTTTGCTTTCTTTTAAAGCATATAATAAATTCACTATGAAACTTTGCTTGTTTGAGATTCCTTCTGTTCTCAACTTTTAGTCAGGGAGAGGGGAATCCTATTCCTCTCCTTTCTCTTTGTTCTACCTCTCTCCCCTCCCTCCTTAAAAAAAAACAAACTAAAAACCATTGTGATAAATGCTTATAGTCAAACAAAACAAATTCCCACACTCACCATATCTAAAAATGTATATGCTGAGTCTGTTATCTCTCAGAAGGTGGAGTAGCACGCTTCCTCATAAGTTAAGTCTTTTAAAGTTTTTGCTTTTTGCAGTGTTGTTATTTTGTGAATCATTCTTCTGGTTCTGCTCACTTCACTCTTCATCAGTTCATAACTGATAACAAGAATTCAGGTTTCTCGAAAACCATTCCTTTTGTCATTTCTGACAACGCAATATTCCATTATATTCACATGTCACAATTTGTTCCATCATTCCCCCAATGGCCACTCCCTTGAAGTTTCCAGTTTTTTTCAAGCCTTGTACACAAAGCCTTTCCTGATCCTTCTCCAACTGCCAGTGTCCTCACTCCCACACCACCTTGTATTGATTTACTTTATGTGTATTATATATCCGCTTTATGTTTATGCTGTACATATTTATATATGAACTTGTATTCCTTGTGAGTAGGGATTATTTCTTTCTTTCACTTGTAACCCCAGCACCTGGGAAAATATCTTGTACATAGTGGGTACTTAATAAATGTTTATTGTTTGAACAATTGAGAAGGAAGAGTTAGAGAGGATCCTGCTAAGGATCAGGACTTTGGAGGCTGAGTAAGTGCTGGTGCTGCTCCCAGATATAATTGAACAGGTTTAGATAGAAAGATAATGAGCTTGGGCCATCAGTGTGATGATGTCATTCCCTAGATTGAGATGGATCTCTGTGTCTGAGGAGAGGCATAAACATCTACCTCTAAGAGACGTAGAAAAACAAAGCACTCGGGGCAGCTAGGTGGATAGAGCACCAGCCCTGGAATCAGGAGGACCTGAGTTCAAATCTGGCCTCAGACATATAATACTTCCTAGCTGTGTGACTCTGGGCAAGTCACTTAACCCCAGTTGCTTCACTGAAAAAAGAAGAAGAAGAAGAAGAAAAACGAAGCACTTTCTAAGAAGGAGACCTAGTGGTTTGGGAGGTAGAAAGAGGACCTGGAAAGTGGGAAGCCCCTGAAACCCTGGGGAAAAGTTGGGTTGTCTCTCCTTGCCAAAAGCTGCTGAGGTCAAATGGAGGATTGAAAAAAAAGGCCTTTGAACTGAATAATCATTGATAACTTTTTTAACATGTGATTTCACTGTTATAAATCACTCCCAGTGAGGAAACTCCCTCTACCTTTGCATGTCCACCCAGTTCAGCAGTTTATAGTCTCAGAGATTTGCTGCAGACCTGAGAAGTTAAATGACTTGCCAAAGTAGCAGCATTGGTCACTTTTAAGGAAGTTATTTCTGTAGAGTAGTGGGCACCTCAGCCAGAATGTAAGAGTTAAGAAGAGAGTGGATCTTGAGGAAGTGATGGCATTGGGTTTAGAACACTTTCTCCAAAAGTATTTCTTTTTTGTGAAGTTGGGGAAGGGGGGGAATGTGTGGAGGGCTGGAGCTAGATTATGTAGAAGGGTCAAGGGAAGGATTCCTTTCCCTCTCCCACCCCGTAATTAGGGAGATGAGCATTTTTATAGGGAGATGGGATGGAGCCAGTAAATAAGAAGAGATTGAAGATGTAGGAGAGGGAAGGTTGGGAAGAAAAAGAGAGGTTTTAAGAAGAATAAGCTTAGCAAAGGAATAGGTATGCTGTTGTGTAGAGAGGGAAGGAGAAGGAAATGGGTAAGGATCCTGAACTTGTCCTCAGACTCCTTAGTACACTATCTGCTCCAAACATGGTGGTTTGGGATGTGGTTGTGGCTTTGAAGAGAGAAGAAAGAGTTTGAAACAATCACTGTCGGGAATGAAATATGGATTCATTACGGAAATTGGAGATTAACCCGGAGGTGCCATTAGCTCCGATAGGAAGAGGGCCGTATAATCAGTATTATTGTTATTTCTATTCTTTTTCTTGCTTTCCCATCTGTGAAATGGACGTATCATCAAAATACTGCCAACCTACTTCACAGGGTTGTTGTGAATATCAAATATGTTTTAAAAGGTGGAAATCCTTTTTTTTTTAAGTTAAAACAGTCTCAACTTGACTTTAATAAAAATAATAGCAACCAACATTTTTATAGCACTTACTATGTACCAGGCATTGTGCTTACGCAAAGTGAGTTATTGACTGAAAAGTAGGAATGGACATCATCCGTCATTTTCTCCTCCTTTACTTCAAGATCTGTTGGAGAGGTGATCCTTCTCCTTGCCAAGGCCAACCTCTCTACTTATACCCCTAAAAATGTTATGTGATTTAACTTAAGGACCCCTTAGCCTGGTCATCTATCTTGATGCCTACGCTTGGGATTTCCAAGTGAGTTGTTATTTTTTTTCTTTTAATTTTTACTCATTTTCAACTCAAATACAAAAAAAAAAAAATTTCCATGTACACAGCACAACATAAGAAGAGGATTCAATATAAAATCATGAATTTCCATTTGTGAAAAACTATGTAAGAAATACTACATAGCATTTTCAAAGCTATCTGCTTTTCTGTGCTTCCTTCTGATTTTTCTTTTGTTCTCTGCTGTGTACTTTTTTTTTTTTTCTCCCTCCCTATCCAGCCTACCCTAGCAAAGGCTACCATTAAACATAAATGTATATAGTAATATATATGTGTAAAACTATACTATACATACTCCTATTTCTTGGGCTGTGGATAGCATCTTCCTTCATAGGACCTTTGTAATGGATTTGGAATTAGTTGACCTTTTAATGTTGAGTAGAATTCACTTGTAAATCCATTTCTTGAGAAGCTCATTTATGGCCTGTTCAATTTCTTTTTCTAAAATAGAGTTATTTAGATATTCTATTTCCTCTTCTATTAACCTAGGCAGTTTGTGTTTTTGTAAATATTCTTCTGTTTCACTTTAAATTGTTAAATTTGTTGGCATATAATTGGACGAAATAACTCCTTATAATTACTTTGATTTCATCTTCATTAGTGGTATATTCACTGGCGTTTTTTAATACTAGTAATTTGTTTTTTTCTCACTTTTTTTAATATTTTATTGTTTTTTTAATTATAAAACCAACTCCTAGTTTTATTTATTAATTCAGTGGTTTTCTTACACTCAGCACTTGTTTTTTAAGATTTCCAATTTGATGTTTAATTGGGAATTTTTAATTTGTTCTTTTTCTAGTTTTCTTAATTGTATACCCAGTTCATTGGCCTACTCTTTCTCTGTTTCATTGACAGAACCATTTAGAGATAGAAATTTTTCTCTAATTACTCTTTTTGTTGCATCCCATAGGTTTTGATATGTTATCTTATTAGAAGGTTAAAATCTTAGACTTTACTTAGTTCCCCTTACCCTTCTCTGCCTAACCACTTCCTTTCTCTTTTCAGGAATCCCGACCTCTTCATGTTGTATTGGGAAATGAGGCTTGTGACTTGGATTCTATGGTGTCTGCTCTCACCTTGGCCTTCTACCTGGAAAATGTGAGTGCCTGTGTCAGGGTTGTTTGTATCACTTGTTGTTGCACACTTCATAGTGTGGTCTTCCTAATTCAGTTTTCCACTTATGTAGGCATTTGGATTCCATTTTTCCAAGCTTCTGCATACTAATAATTGTCTTTTCCCTCTAGCACTTAGACTTCAGAATCATCTATCATTTCACTGATTTCCACATTTTCACTGTTTAGAAGGATGGCATTTTCAAACATACAGATGAGTAATAAACACAAAAATGTCTGTGACTTAAAATTCACATTATGACTAGTGTCATAGATAGTAACAAAGTAAGGTCCCAACCTGAAGTTATGTCACCCTGCTTTGCCTTCTTTCATTCTGTGTGGGTGTGGGTGTGGGTGTGGGTGTGTGCGTGTGTTGCCTTATAGCCAAGAGATGGACTATTTTTCCCTTCTCCCACCTACGCTTAATACACCAAATTTATTTTCACCTTTGTACCCAGACTTCTGAGTCCAAGGCAGCCTTTGTGCCAGTTTTAAATATCCCACGCTCTGAGCTAGCCCTGCGAGGTGATAGTGTCTTTCTGCTTTCGGAACTTAACATCCCAGAGTCCTCCTTGATATTCCGTGATGAAATTGACCTTCATGCTTTGCACCAGACTGGACAACTTAGCCTTACCCTTGTTGACCATCACATCCTGCCAAGGTAAGTATAACTATTATTAATTATCAGTATTTATCAAGTGTCCCTCTCATGTGCAGAGCATATAACCATACTGGAAGACACATAATCTTTCACAAGAGGTTCCCAATTTAATAGTTGAAGATGAGTGACACACTGGTAATAACCAAAAAATAAAAAGTAATCTCTCAAAGATCCTTGTTACTACAATACATAGTGTCATGGATAACCCAAAATAGTTAATAATCCATACCTTTTTTTGCTTGGTTTTGGTGTATTATTTATAGTAATGCTTAATATTACTGTCATGGTAGCCAGTGTATAATGTTGTTGTAGCTCTGCTTTTGAAAAGATATCAGAAAATTCCTGTATAAAAGTATGTGACTTCTTAGTTACCTTTGAGTAAAATCTTATAGTAGATTCTGTAAATATTTTGGTAGTGTTTGTTTTTACTTTATGATATAATTATCCCATCCCTATTTTTCTACTGGAACAATCATCATAATACATAAATATAGCTTCCTTATTATGTTTTGCTCTAACTAATATTAAAATAAGTTTTGCATTTCCTGAGCACACACTTTAACGGGTAGCTAGATTTTGGAGGGAGACATCCCAGAATGCTGAGTGGCAGAGAGAAGACAGTTTGGAAATAAATAAATTCAGATAGTATGTAAGATATGTAATCCACTCATGTATGATTGAGAGGTGACTACAGTTATCAAAAGAATTATACAAGTGAACTGAGGGAGAGTGTGATTGTTGAATTGTTGATCTGGGGAAGGGCTAAAGGTCCTGGAGGGTTAGCTTAAGCATCTCCTAAGTACTTCTGTAATGACTTCTTATGAGATCCATAGATTAGTAGGAAACAATTGGAGTTTTCTCCCATATCTCTATCTTTTTCTCTCTCTCACCCCTCACAGCAGTGACACAGCTCTAGAGAAGGCTGTAACAGAGGTATTGGACCACCGACCCCTGGAGCAACAACACCCCCCTCCCTGCCGAGTAACAGCAGAGCTGGTGGGGTCCTGTGCCACTCTGGTGGCCGAGAGAATCCTTCAGGGAAAGCCAGAAATCTTGGACTGGCAAACTGCAGCACTTCTGCATGGTGAGGGGAGTGTGGGGAAGTGTGGGGGAGGGAATGACTGAATCTTCTTCACATCATCTCAGTACAGACCAAAGGGCTTTTCCCCGTTTGCTCACTGGGGTTATCCTACAATATGGTTCAGTATTTGTCTGAAGGCTTTCATTTTGGACATTTTGGGGGTAGGAAGACAGAAGTGAACAATGGTAACCTGCACTTTTACAAGCTATTTAGTAGCCCAACATCACTGGTTTTTGCCTGTTTTGCTTTGGGGAATCTCATCTATCCTTGCCTGTGATAAAAGCTTTCCAAACCTGGAACAACTGTGCTTCTCTTTATTTCCACTTCAACCTCAGGGCCTTTTTTTTTCTCTTTCTACATTTTCTGGGATTTTGATAAGTAGTCTTCATTCTCAGTTTATAAGTGAAGGAGGAAATAAAGTCAACACAGTGCTTCCCAGCCCTTTTTCCCCCAGTGAATTTACTCCACTCTTTCCAATGCTGTGTGTTCAGTCAATTTGAAGAAAGTGTTTGGGGTAGTGTGTGAGGGCAGAATTTCAGGTATCATTATTCTTCTTTCCACAGGGACCATAATCTTGGATTGTGTCAACATGGCCCCTGAAGCTGGCAAGGTCACTCCAAAGGATTCTAAATATGTGGCACAGCTAGAAGCCCACTTTCCAGACCTACCTAGTAGGAGCAACATCTTTGAGTCCCTGCAGAAGGCAAAGTTTGATGTATCAGGTATGAAACATTAAGCTGACTTCCCTTAGCACAGGAGGTAGGCAAACCAATGGAAAACTCTTGTCCTTCCTTTGTTCTTGAACACTGTTGTCGTGGTTTGGGGCAGTTGAGAAGTATGAGAGATAGTTTAGACTATAAATATAGGGTAAACATAAGCCAGAAAGAAACCAGGATTTGAATGAGACTGATTATTTAATTAGTCTATAAGGAATATTTGTCCAGCATCTAGGTGTATTCTTGGTACCTGTGGTCACATAGTGTCTTGGCTTGTGTGGATTGGGAGAGTCTGTACCAAGAGACATGTTCCCTTCACTCAGGAGCTCCCTATCTAATCAGGGAAACAGAACATACATTTTAAAGCAAGTAAATCATGTATTAACTGAGTTTATAGGTACTGAGATATAATACCAAGTGATGCAGGGATTGGAGTCAGTATGCGGGGAGGGACTAGAACTGAATTTGGGTACCTGCCTCTAATCCAAGGGAAGGATAGTGTTAATGTTTCTGGGATATGAAATTCTGTGAGCCTAGCCATTTACTGGTATACCCCCATTCCTTAGACTTTTTTTTTTAAATCGTTGAGATCATTTGTTTAGATTCTGCTCAAACTGTGCTGCAATCTGTATTTTTCTTTTTACAGTGTTAACATTAGAGGTAGCCATATTTATTTTATGCCATTTTTGGATGATTTTTTTCTTTATCTTGCCTATTCACTCCCATCATACAATCCCTTTATACCTTCTCAGTAGTCCTAGTCCTTTATCAGACTGAGGTTTCTTGGTCTTTGAGCCCTCTGCTCTTCCTGTAGCTCTTTTGTTCCATATCTTCACCCTTTGCCTGTCCACTTTCCAGGGCTGACTACAGAGCAGATGCTGAGAAAGGATTTGAAGACAATCTCTGGGGATGGTACCATGCTGGCCATTAGTGCAATATACATGGATTTGGAGGTAAAAGCCAGGTATAAGGGAGTTTACTCAGAATAGGTATGGAAGAGACAAACCATTGTTTGTGTATCCTTCCCCTGAAACCTCAAATTACACTTGGTGTATTTGATGATAGTGTTAGAGAATCATACAATGTTAACACTAAAAGAGACCTTAGAAATCATTTAGTCAAACCGTCTCATTTTACACATGACAAAATTTGAGTTCTTAATTAGTCTGTGGCTCTAGGTCAGTCAGCAATCCTATTATTGGAGGACTGCTTATATCATTTCATGCCCATAGGTCACTAATGGAAATATGTCACAGACTATTTACATTCACCATTTATCCCTCCTTTGCCCTTTGGATGATCTGAAATTTTGATTCTTCAGAGAGTATGGTGTTCTAAGATTTGCAACCACACAATGTCAGTGGAAGAAATTTCAGTTAAAAAATGATGGGTTTTTGTGCCAAGGTTTTTGTGCTTAGGCTCATAAGAAAGACTGCAGTTTCTCCAGTGCAGTCCAGCTGATTTGGAGGGTAGAGGAGAGGGGGTAAAAAGAGAGGCAGGCACCTTCCCCCTTGTTCCTAGTGTCTCCTCCTTGATTTCCAGCCCCAGTAGAAGTGGGAAGAGGAGAAGTGGGTGCCTTACCTTCGTACCTCTTGCATCTCTTTACTGGCCTGCTGTGGGAAGATTAGAAGCTCCATTCCAACATACCTGTCTCCCATTCCATCAAGTTTCCAACCTGGTCCCCTGCCTTGGGGAAGTAGAATATCACTTCCCCTTCTTTTCCAAGTTCTTGCTCTCTCACTTAAACTGCCTGATGCTTTCAAAGGGAAGGGAAGAGAGAGGAAGGGGAATATGAATTTATTAAGCTCTCCTGCTAAGTGTCAGGCATTGTGTCAGGTGCTTTATAAATATTATCTCATTTGATCCTCACGAGCAATAAGGGATAGGAGCTATTATTATCTCCATTTTACAGATGAAGAACTGAGGCAGACAGGGTTAAGTGACTTGCCCAGGGTCAGACAACTAGTAAGTGTCTGAGGCCACATTTGAACTCAGGAAGATGAGTCTTCCAGACTCCAGGTCTGTCTCTCTATCCACTGTACCACCTAGCTGCCCTACTTGACACAGTGCCTGGCACATTGTAAGTTCTATATATGTTAGCTGCTATTATTATTATTATTGTTATTATTATTACTACTATTACATGAAGAAGTGGCCCTTCTCCTTGCCAAGAAAACCTCTGTATGTCCCGGTGATCCCATTCTATCCCTCTCTTTCAGCAGATTCCCTCTTTTATCATTCCCCACTCTCTTACTTATCTTTAGCCTCTCCTTGTCTACTGACTGGCTTCCCTATTGTCTACAAACATGCCCATGTCTTCTCACCCTTAAATAATCCTCACGTGATCTTACCATTCCCTCGAATGTCCCAAATCTCTCCTGCCTTTTTGGCCAAACTCAATAGGTGCCTTCACTTTCTCTGCTCTCATTCTCTTCTTAACTCTCTTCTGTAGGGCTTCTCACCTTATCAGTAAACTGAAACTGCTCTCACCAAAGTTACCAGTGATCTCAACTGCCAAATCCAATGGCCTTTTCTCAGTCTTCTTTATCCTTGACCTCTCTGCATCCTCTGACACTTTTGATCATCCTCTCCTCCTTGTTACTCTCTTCTTTGTCGTTTTTTAGCACAACTTTCTTTCCTGGTTCTCCTCTTACCTATCTGACCGTACCTTCTCTGTCTCCTTTGCTGAATCTTCATCCATGTCACATCTGCTAGCTATGGTTGTTCCACAGGGCTCTGTCCTGGGGCCTCTTCTCTCCTCCTTCTGTATTAATTAACTCGGTGATCTCATCAGCTCCCATGGATTCATTTTAATCTCTCTGCTAATAATTCTCACAACTACCTATCCTGCCTCAGTCTCTCTGCTGACTTCCAATCTCGCATCTCCAGCTGCCTTTTAGACATCTCACACTGGATATTTGTAGACATCTTAAACTCAAATATGTCCAAAGTAGAACTCATTATCTTTCTCCATAAACTCTCCCCCCTCCTACCTTCACTATTACTGTAGAAGGCAACATTATCATCCCAGTCTCTCAGGTTCACAACCTAGGAGTCATCCTGGACTCCTCACTATCTTTCACAGCCTTTAACCAATCTGTTGCCAATGCCTGTCCATTTTCTCTAATAGACTCTCCAACACCTGATTCTTGGACTATTACAGTAACCTGTTGGTGGCTCTACCTGTCTCAAGTTCCTTCCCACTCCAATCAATCCTCTATTCAGCCACTAAAGTGATTTTCCTATAGTATAAGTCACTCCCCTCTCCCAGTCAGTAAACTCCAGTTGCTCCCTAGTGCATCCAGGATCAAAAGCAAAGTGTTCAGTTTCATATTCACAGCCCTTCATAACCTAGCCTTCTCCTACTCTCCAGTCTTTTTACACCTAATTCCCTGTCCAGTATTCTTCAGTCCAGTGACATTGGTCTCCTGGCTGTTCCATGAACAAGACACTTCACCTCTCCGCTCTAGGCAATTTCCCTGACTGTCCTCCATGCCTGGAATGCTCTCCCTCTTCAATCCCCACTTCTGACTTCTTGGCTTCCTTGAAGTCTCATGTAAAATCCCATCTTCTGCAGGAAGCATTTCCCAACCTCTCTTAATTCTAGTGTCTTCTTTCTCCTAATTATTTCCCATTCATCCTGTATATAGCTTGTTTGTACAGATTTGTTTGCTTTTTGTTGTCTCTCCCATTAGATTGTGAGCTTGAGGGCAGGGCCTATGTTTTGCCTTTTTTTGTATCCCTATCACTTAGCCTAGTGCCTGGCACATAGTAGGCATTAATAAACGTTTATTGATTGATTGATTTCCTGCACTGTCAGGATGGGAAGGATCTCATGGACTAAAATTTTATAAAGGAAGTCAGTCCAGAAGAAGTGGGAAACTCTCAAGAATAAAATTTTGAAGACACAAAGGGAAATGAAGGGAAAATAGGAATCCCAACTTAGATTTTTTTTTTTAAAGATATGTGTAGAAAAGGGGAGGAAGGGGAAATAATCGAGTAAATATAGAAGTATGGCTTAGTGCTGTAGAAAACTGTCGGGAGCAAAAAGAGTCAGAATGAGCAGAGGTTCATGGGAAAAGCTAAGGATAACAAGAAAGAGTTATGGAAAGTTGGGTTTTGTTTTTGTTTTTTTTCTGAAAAGACTGTTTTATTCACACCCCAGTGGTAAATAATAACCTTAATAGGATGACTAAGTTTCTTTGTAGATCACTATGTCACATTAAAATACAAAAATCCATAAACAAACAGACAGTTAATGAACATTAGATGTGGTTTTACTGGAAATTCTTAACCATATACTAGTCTTTTCTCAAATCAGATTGCAAAATGCTGTGTCTCCTAGTTAGTACAAGTCACTGCATTTCTCTAACAAAGTAATGAAGGCATAACTAGTACAAGCAGACTTAAATCCATTCAACTACTGGGCTGGAAAAATACTTTTGTTGGTTGTTCAGAAGGATTTCTTTTTTTCTAAACCAGTATTGGTCTCAAATAACAGTTTGGATAATTTTCACAGCTGTAGTCTGATAGCTACATGACAAATGACAAGAACCAAACTACGTACCAGTGGACATACATTAGGAGATTTCACTGCATTCTACATATCCAGCAGAACTTATACTATTAAAATGCTAGGTAAAATGAACCTGTAGTGCTGGTTCTTAAACATTCATTTTTTCTTTTTTTTCCTTTTTTAACAAAAATTGTTTATTTGATTCTACTAAGAAAATATAAAACATAAGGCTGTAAGTAACTACTAGTTGTGTTTAGACTGGGACAGTGCAGTAAACCTCAAGGCCACAGCACACACTGCTCACTGCCGCTTGCACTCGGCTGGGGTTGGATCTTTCTTTGGATCATATTCGGGATCATTTTTCTCATCAGCTTCTTCTTCCCCTTCTTTATCATCAGCCTCTTCACTTTCTTCATCATAATCATCATCATCATCTTCAGTAGCTTCTCCTGTGAAGTATAATACTGATCTCAGGACTCAGGTAAAAAGTGACCAATTTTGAAGTTTGCTGCAAGGATAGCTTCTGCATCATCATCCAGGTCCCCACTCTCAGGAACTTCAGGAGGAGAAAAGAAATCAAAGAAGGAATCATTTGAAACTATTTTTGTCACAGTTCGAACAGTCCCACATCCCTTGTTTTTCTGTTTCTTCTTAAGTTTTCAAAGTGACATTTTTCCCTTTTTTCTAATCTTTCTGACACCCCGTGCAACTCATAATCTCTGGTCCATCAAAGGAGAAGGGATCAGAATCATCTGGCCCTGATGGCATATGATATGTTTTCGTCAACACCTCGTTTGTGAAATATTCATTGGTTTCAAAGTGAAATTCTAATGTAAAACTCATAGGTTGGCCAGCATCTGAGAACTTCACTTTAGTATCTTTCAAGTGCTTCAGAATAGGTTCGTCATGTTCCTGAACCATATCACTGAGCAAGTCAACATTTTTAAAAACAGTCAGCCAAAATGTAGGAATTCTTTTAGGGTCTTCTTTTTCTTCATCTTTTTTCTCCTCTTCAAGAGAATATATAGAAAAATAGCCTTCTCTTTTATTTCTGAAATCTCTTCATCATCATGTGGTTTCCATTCACATTCTTCCTCTGTAGGTTCATAGATTGCATTGATCCTTTCACTTCTCTTATCAAAAAGTGCCTGGTAAAGAACAGCATAGTCTCTTTCAAGAGCATGAACTTCCTCATGGAACTTGGCTTCTATCTGTGCACATTTCACATGAAGGTTTTTGAGAGCATTCACACATCGCTTAACTACTTTTGGCAAGCTTTCGATGTATCTGGTTGATGTTCCAACTAAACCATCCAATCTTTCTTGAAGAGTTGCAAGAATCTGAGGATTCTGCATCATCTGAACAGTCAACTGACAAGCTTTCCTGTTTGCATCTTCACCAGTTTCTTCTTCTTGCACTTCTTCAACATCTTCCATA